AGTGAGTGACGAGTAGTGAGTATTGAGTAGTGAGTCGGGAGTAGCGAGTAGTGCGTACTGAGTAGGGGGTAGGAGTACTGAGTAGTGGGTAGTGAGTAGTGGGTAGTGAGTAGTGGGTGGCGAGTAGTGATTAGTGAGTAGTGAGTAGTGGGTAGTGCGTAGTGCTTAGTGAGTAGTGAGTAGTGAGTAGTGAGTAGTGAGTAGTGGGTAGCGAGTAGAGAGTAGCGAGTAGTGGCTGGTAAGTAGTGAGTAGTGAGTAGTGAGTAGTGAGTGTTGAATAGTACGTAGTGAGTAGTGAGTAGTGATGAATAGAGAGTAGTGGGTAGTGGCAGTGGGTAGTGAATAGTGGGGAGCGAGTAGGGCGTAGTAAGTAGTGAGTGATTAGTAGAAAGTTGCCAGTAGTGAGTAGTGGGTAGTGAGTTGTGAGTAACGAGTTGGGAGTAGCGAGTATTGAGTAGTGAGTAGGGAGTAGGGAGTAGGGAGTAGTGAGCAGTGAGTATCTACAAGTGGGTAGCGAATGGTGGGTAGTGATTTGCGAATAGTGAGTAGTGACTAGTGATTAGTGACTAGTAACTAGTGACTAGAGACTATGTAGTGAGTAGGGAGTAGTGAGTAGTGAGTAGTGAGTAGCGGGGAGTGAGTAGTGAGTATTGACTAGCGAGTATGGGAGTTTCGAGTAGTGAGTACTGAGTACTGTGTAGTCAGTATTGTACAGGGAGTACGGAGTAGCGAGTAGCGAATAGTGGGTAGTGAGTAGTGATTTGTGGGCACTGAGTAGTGAGTAGTGCGTAGTGGAGAGTGGGTAGTGGGTAATGAGTAGGAATTGTGACTAGTGAGTAGGGAGTGGGGAGTGGTGCTTAGTGAGTAGTGAGTATTGAGTAGTGAGTAGTGAGGAGTGAGTAGTGAGTAGTGAGTAGGGAGGAGGGAGTAGTGAGTAGTGAGTAGTGAGTAGGGAGTAGTGGGTGGTGGGTAGTGGGTAGTGGATAGTGAATAGTGAGTAGGGAGTAGTGAGTAGGGGGTCGTGAGAAGTGAGTAGCGAATAGCGAGTAGTCCGTAGTGGGTAGTGCGTAATGAGTAGTGAGTACTCGTTGGGGCTGGGGTTAGTGGTTGGGGTTCGGTTTAGGGATTTGGGTTAGGGTGAGGACTAGGGGTAGGGGTGGCGGGGGTCGGGTTCCGGAGTGCGGCGTGGCGAAAAAGGGAGGGGGGGGGCGCGGCCAAAGGGGGGGAGGGGGAGGGGGGTCGGACCCCCCCCCGCTTTTGAAAGGGGGGAGGGGGGAGGGTCCCGACGACGGACCAGGAAAGAGGGGGGGGGAGTCCCCGACGACGGATCGGGGAAGGGGGGGACGGGGGGGGGTTCCCGACGACGGATCGAGGAAGGGGGGGGGGGGGTCCCCCCCCCCTTGGGGAGATCCAGCGGCGCGCCCTCCAAAACAGCAGGGCTTCAGGGGTTGGATTGACATCTTCAGGCAATTCTGGTGCGCACGAAGGAGCCCCATAATACAGCCAGGTACAGTGTTTCTTTGCATTCAGGAGGTCCGCGTGGTGTTTTCGCACAGTCGGAAACAGAGGCGTCGTTCGTGACAGCGTCGGCCTGCCCCGTGTGGTCGGTTGTGGCAGGTTCTGAGGAGGATAGCCAACCACACGCCGAAACGCTGGAGACGGACTGGACCAGGGGTGCCCGAAACAGCGGGCATATTCAGTCCTAGACCAGGAAGGAAACCAAAGGCAGTTGCGCAGTCAACTGCTTCTCGGCGGCCCTGGCGCGGCTTAGGTGTTGCCAGGCGAGCCTGCGGCGGGTGTGCGAAGAATGCCTTGTATGTTTTACAAATGTGGATATGCTTCGCGAGTGAGTGGGATGCGTCCTTAGGATCCCCAGGGTCCATCCTTCCACCGAGCGAGCTCGCAGCGGTGATAGCATCGACCTCAGGCACGGTTCCCTCCGGGACCTTGTCCCCGAAGAGCGCGGCGAACTAAGCTTTCCTGGCCTCAAGTAGTTGGGATCTTCTTTCCTCTTTTTTTGGCGGGGCCAGTTGGACTTCGAGCCTGGCGTCGGCCCGGTGGCAGGGCTGCCCCGCTGCGGCAAGATACCAGGCAACTCGAGTTGCCTCGTGATGGGCTGCTGCCCCGATGACCTCAACTGCAGCACCATCCCCAGATAGGGTTTCGAGGGCACGTTGGCGACCCCCTTGATGCTGCCTATGTAGCACCACGCGGCCGAACTGCAGATGACGCAATCGATTGCGCACCCCTCTTTGCCAGCTTCGCACGTCGAGGAAATGCTGTCGGCCGTGAGGATGATGAGCTCGATGAGTTTGGACAGGTCCATATATGTCTGGATCTTCGCAACCTGTATGTTGAAATCGCCAATTATTACGCAAGGAATCTGCAAGGTGTTGATGACGGCTCCGATCTTCTTGAGCCGCTGGACGTTGGCACTTGTGAAGCCCAGCGACGGCAGGCCATAACAGGTGACAATCGCCATGGAGTGCCTTTGCATATGGACAATCGCAGCTTGAAATCCATCCAACTGGTTGTGGCCAGCCGAACGGAGTTGCGCAGCATTTGTGTGGAGGTCGCTGTATTTGAATCGGCCTGCAAACGCATCTCGGCCACGAACCACTCGCCGCCTTCGTGGGCCCTCTCGGCCATGGAGGCAGCAAGCCTCTTGGTTCGTGACCGCGCATGATTAGCCATCGTACGGTAGCTTGCAGCCGTGGCTTTCCTATCCCATTGTTTGAACGATGACTCGCTGATGTGTGTCTCCACCACGCTCGCGTAGTCGTAGTTGTCCTGCATCAGATACTTCCACGCGGTGCCCCCCAGAGACGTGACATTCGCATCGCAGAACGAACTGAACAAAGAACTGGATTTGGACGCCGTCGAAGACCCCGAAGACGGCGCCGCAGGCGAGGAGGAGCACATCGTGCCGTCCACGACCGCACTCTCCACACAATACATGTCAGATCCTAGTCAATGCTGGCCACCTGGATCGACCTGGTCGCCCTTGCTGCCAGCAGCGTTGCCGCCCTTGCCCATGGCCTTGACCGCAGACGCTTCGACCGCAGCTGCCGCAGGGCGCCTGCATCTTGGCGGTGGTCAGGCGCTGGGCCGTAACGCGACTCTCCGCCTCATCCTGATCGCCGTCGGCTGGCATGTCGATGCCGCCGCCGTCCTTGGACCAGGCCGCTGCGGGGGCGGCGGCGGTGGTGGCCGCGGCGCCTCTGGGCGCGCTGCCAGTGCCCTCCGCCTCGCCCTGGCTGCCGATCCCCTGCTTTTTCTTCTTCGATTCGGTGCCCTCGATGTCGGGATTGTCGACCTTACGCTTCTTGGCGATCTTCTCACACACCGCTTTGCGGACCTCCTCGGCCTTTGGGAATAAGGCCGACACTTCCTTCTCCTCGGTAGACCGCATACTCTGCAAACCCTCCAAGTCATTCTTGACCTTCCGGAGGTCAGCTCTCTCGTGCTCCTCGCATTCCAGCTCGTCAAGGCCCTCGAGCATTCTGCGGCCCCACGTGAGGCGGAACTTGCGCTGGTCGCCGTCGCCCCCCGCTTGCCCAGCCACGTCGAGGCCTTCAGCTAGCGCCAGGACTTGGGTGGCCCCGCGTTTAGCCTTCTCGGCCTGCGCAAGGGCGGTGGCCGAGCTGCGCACACGCTCCTGCGCAGCCTTCAGGCTATCGTGGAGCTTGACCACGAGGTTGACTGCAAGTGCGTGTGTGTGTGTGTGTGTGTGTGTCGATGATTTGCATCCTTCCACGCGGTGTTCGCGCGCTTGACTGCCTCTGCTGGGGCCGCGTCCGTCGAGAAAGCCGGGGTGGAGATCTTGGCCACCTGCTCCTGGAGGACGCGCTTCAACTTGTCATCCGTTGTCTCCTGCATTGCCAACTTCAGGAGGCTGGACACGTCCTTGGGCTGTGCACCACCATCACTGCCCTTGCCCTTGCGGTTCCCTCCTCGGCCACGGCCCGTGCCTTCGGCGCCGCCGTCCGCTGAGGCCTCGGCGTTGGAGGCACCTCCCTGATCACGATTCCGAGGTTTGAACAGCTTAACGTTCCTGTTGCACCGCTAACATGCGCAGTTGTTGCTGAGGAGGCAATCAATGCACTCATACAGACCGCATCCTGCACACAGAGACCATGGACGAGAGGCTCCTGCTGCCATCACTTCTGATTTGGTCGACACCAGCGTGTGCGATGGTTGTGCGCCCTGGGTGCAGTGCCTCAAGCGCCTCGTGCAGGCACCGAAGTGGGGCTCTTGCCAAAATGGTCTCAGCCCGAGTTGCTTGAGGGAGGAGGTGGAGGAGGAGGTGGAGGAGGTGGAGGAGCAGGAGGAGGAGGAGCAGGAGGATGAGGAGGAGGAGGCGGAGGAGGAGCAGGACGAGGAGGAGGAGGAGGATAGGAAAAGGAAGATGAAGAGGAGGAGGAGGAGGAGGGACGTGGAGGAGAGGAGGAGAGGAGGAGGAGGAGGAGGAGGAGGAGGAGGAGGCAGAGGAGGAGGGGGAGGAGGGAGGAGGAGGAGGAGGAGGAGAAGGAGGAGGAGGAGGAGGAGGAGGAGGGGAGGAGGAGGAGGAGGAAGGAGGAGAGGAGGAGATGAGGAGGAGAAGGAGGAGGAGTTTAGGAGGAGGAGGCGGATGAGGAGGAGGAGGAGGTGTTGTGGAGGAACTGAGGATGAGCTGAGGAGGAGGAGGAGGCGGAGGAGGAGGAGAAGGAGGAGAAGGAGGGGGAGGCGGAGGAGGAGGAGGAGGAAGAGGAGTAGGAGGAGGAGGCGGAGGAGGAGGAGGCGGAGGAGGAGGTGGAGGAGGAGGAGGAAGGCAGGAGGAGGGGAGGAGGAGGAGGAGGAGGAGGAGGAGGAGGAGGAGGAGCAGGAGCAGGAGCAGGAGGAGGACGACGAGGAGAGTGGAGGAGGAGGAGGAGGAGGAGGAGGAGGAGGAGGAGGAGGTGGATCTAGGAGGAGCTCAGGAGGACACGGAGTTTCCTTGGATCCGCCCCGCTCCGCCGCAGGACCCAAGGCCGTGGCCCACCCTCTTCGCGCCGGTGCCCCCGTGAGGGCCCTGCGGGCGGGCGGGGCCCGGCGCCCGCCGGCGCGCCGCGGCGGGCCAGGGCGGGCAGTCCTCGTTCGAGGGCAGATCGGGGCTCAAGAGACCGGGGTCAATGCAATTGGGGTCAGTCAGAGCGCCAGTCTTGCAGGATCCTGCCGTGCCATGGTCGCATTGACGGCGGTTTGGTTGCAGGATCCTGCAGGATCCTGCAGGATCACGCAGGGTCCTGCAAGGCCCCGATGACCTGGGTCTGGATGGACCCAGGTCAGTAGATCCCCGAGACGCTCGGGCGTTGCGCACAATCAAGGCGCGGAAAGAAAGGCCATTCTGGTCTGGGGAAGGTCTCTGGTTTTCGGGCAGTTCCGTAGATCTCTGCCGGGTAGCCTATTCGAGGCCGAGGTTCGCTGTAGTCAGGAGAGCCCATTCGTTGCTCTTTGGGCGTTGCTGTAAGGGGGGGGGCATCGACTGTAATGGGGGGCAGTAAAAGAAGGGCGAAGAAAGCTGCACCTCTTGTGGCTTAATCCTAAAGCGTTAATAAGGCAACTTATAAAACTTAACGAAAACAGTCGGCCACGACTGTTTGAAACTGAAACCACGCCCGTGGTTTAAAACAGTCGCCAGCGACTGTTTTAATCCACGCGACGCAGCGGTAGTGATGAGGAGAAGGGAGGAGAAAACGACGACGACTGGACGCCGATAGAGAAAATTAGAGGCGTTCCGCCGTGAGAGACGGAGGTAGAGGGGATGGAGTATGGAGGAGGAATGAGGAGGAGGCGGAGGAGGAGGAGGAGGAGGAGGAGGGGGAGGATGAGGAAAAACAGGAGATCGAGTATGGAGGAGGGAGGGGGGAGGACGGGGGAGGGAGGAGGAGGAGGAGGAGGAGGAGGAGGAGGAGGAGGAGGAGGAAACCATACGGCCGAGGAGGGGCTGGGACCGTCGCGGCCTCGCTCGTCGTCTGTCGCCCCTTCGGTCGTGGCTCGCGCGCCGCGGAGCCATCAAAGAGAAGACAAAGAGGCGCCGCAGCCGCGGCGGTCACCCCGACCGCCACGCCCAGGACTAAGGAAGAAGCCTGGCACCGCCGCGCCAACACCCAAAGAGGACAGGATAGGCTGCTGATCAGACTGGCGGCTGCTGCCAGTAGGCTGGAGCAGCACCACAGCGCGCAGCAGCCCCAGCGCCACCAGCAGCACGCCATGACGCAGAACTGGAAGCAGCAGCGCGGCGCCTCGAGGGAAAGGTGGTCAGGAGCAGGGACCACACACCTCGAGGCGTCGCAGCGCGGCCCTGGGAAAAGGTGGACAGGAGCAGGGTCCACAGCCCAGGCGCAGCACCAGCGCAGGCGCAGCAGCAGTGCCAGCGACTGGACTGGTGACTACGGAGCCATCGGAGGGCGACCCTGGGAGTGGGCCCATGGGGATGGCCAGCAGCACAACGCGCAGAGGCGGCAGCACAGCCAGCAGCAGCAGCAGCAGCAGCAGCAGCCTCAGACCCACAAGCACCACCACCAGCCAGCCCACCACCAGCACCAGCAAACACACCCACAGCACCAGCAGCGAAGCGACAGCGACCAGCACTGGAAGCACAGCGCGCCATGGAGGAGCGCCTCTGCCAGAAGGAGGAGCAGCAGGCGCAGAAGGATGGACCAGCACGACACTCCAGCTTCAGCCTACATCGGCAGCTTCCAGTACAGCCCGCAGCAGAAGGCAGTCCTGGACAGCATCACGCCAGTTTCCTTCGCCGTCGCGATGGAGCATGAGAGCTGGTCCGCACCACCAGACGACGAGGAAATGCGGTTCGTGTGGTACAAGACGAAGTACCACAGGCTGGGGCGCCTCTCCGAGAACATTGCTGGCGTTAGGCTGGCGGGTTTGTGCACATCAAGCCTCGAGCAGGAAGCGGCGATCACCGCCGCGAGCATCTCCTTCGTCTTGCCCCACAAAGAGCGCATGAAGCAGCTCAGGGCTACGCTGGAAAAGCTGGAGGAGGAGCACACCGAGATGGAGAAGCGGCTCAGCAAAATGCTCGACCAGGAGGCGGCGGCCGCCAGAACCATCAGGGTCTACAAGACCCTGCTGAGGGAAACTAGAGATCAGATGGCAAAGTCAGCGGGTGTGAAGGAGGAATCGTCAGAGGAGGAGGGGAGCCAGGACCCCACCAGAGGACGCACGCCACACTCGGCTGCGAGGAGGAGGCGCGACCCAGCTGCAGCACTAGCGGCACCAGCCACAGCTCAGCCAGGCATAGCAGCGAGTGCCTCCTCGGGACCAGCAACAACCGCACGATCAGCCCCAGCAGCACCAGACGAGATCAAAGACGCCATCAGGAAATTGACCGTGAGGCTCGACTCGCAGCAGAAAAAGGAACAGCAGCAAAGTGACCTGCTGGCACAGGCAGAGCTTAAGCACAAAAGCGAGCTGAAGGCCTACGAGCAGACCATGGCGCAACATATGATCCACACGACCGAAGCGCAGCTGGCCAAGCAGGAGGAGTGGCACACATGGGAGGTCAACGCGCTCAAGCGACACCACAACGCCAAGCTGGAGGAGTAGGGAGCGAAAGCATACGAGGCGCAGAGAGGCAGCCAGAGGACACAGGAGGAGAGGGCCAAAGGGATGCTCGCGGACTTGCAAAATCACCTCGAGTTGGAAAAGAAGACACTACGCGAGGAGATGCACAAGGAAGACCAGAGAAGAGCAGCCATCTACACGCAGCAGGTCCAGAAGGCCAGGCAGGAGGAGCAGGCCGTGAGACAGATGGCGGCTCAGGAGGCCCAGTGGTGCAAGATGGCGCAGGAGCACAATGAAACGGCGACGCAGGAGATGGCGGAGGCGGAATACCAGGAGCGATGCGCCCGGCGCAGCGCTTACAAGGAGGAGGAGCTGCAGATCGGAGTGAACTACCAGCAGATGGCCTACGAGCACCAAGAAGAGGCCAACAGGCGCGAAGCGATGCGGGTCGTCCTGAACCTGGAGCACGCAGCCATCCAGGCGAAGGCATACGAGATGCAGCACGAGCAGGGGAAGTACTTGGAGCGCGTCGGGGAGCACCAGGAGGCGGTGGACAAAGCTCAAAGGATGGAGGAGGTGGCACTGCAGCGCCAAGCAGCAGCCACGAGCGAGCTCCAGGCATTACAGCACCAGCAGGAGTTGGAGAACCACGTGTCTCAGCAGTACCACAGCACTCTGCAGCACGAGCACCAGCAGGAGATGCAGGCCGCGGTGCAGCACTACGCCCACATCCAGTACATGAGCGACGCACAGAGGCAGCAGCAACTACAAGACCTCCAACGCGCACATGATCTGCAAACGGCAGGACTCCAGAACGCCCTGCGGGACGCCTGGGGAGCAGGAGGACAAGTGGGCGAGGACCTGCTACTCGACATGACGGACGACCTCATGGAAGACCCAGTCACGATTGAGCGTCACCAAGGCATGGCGGAGCAGGAGGGCACGTACCAGAGGGAGCAACTGGAGGCAGACCGACTCCGCGTTCTACCTAGCCAGTACGAGCTCCCACATCCCGAACTACCGCCGTACCTCGAGGAGCTGGCCGAGGTGGGATTTGGAGAGAGGTCTCATACATCGTCGATGCCAACGCCAGAGGAGCCGACCCTCTCGCCGTTCGGCGACCTCAGCTTTCAGGACCTGAGCTTCGCGCCGAGGCCACCCGCTGTAGAGCGTCCGCTACCGCCACCACCACCACCTCAGCAGCGCCCGCCCATCGAGGAGCACGCCAGTATCGGCCCATTCCTGCATGCGGGGCTGCTCGACGCACGGGCGAACAGCGACTGCATCCCAATTGGCGAATCCGACGACGCTGACTTGCAGGGCGAAGAGCCGAAGATGGGCCAAGGCCCGCGCGAGGAGAAGGAGGACGAAGCCCCGACAGACCTCGCCTCACTCTCACCAACGCTACCAGCCGACTCACCCATCCCGACAGAACAGCCCACGCCAAGACACATACTTTTCCCACCCGTCACGCCTCTCACGCCAAACAAGAGCCCACAACAACGACCGCAGCCAGCCAAAACCCCCATGACGACCTTGTTCATCGACTTCAGCCGCGACGAGGAGGCCTGCCCTAGCACACCTCCACGAATGCCGATCGAGGACATCACGCCCATCGTGCCACACGAGCCACGGCTGCCACCTCCGCGATTCCACATGGGCACACCAGAGAGGACGAGCTCAGCACCACCTTGCATAGGCAACCTGAAGCAGCCAAGAGACCCCAGGAGGGCGAGGAGCCAGCCTAAAAAGGTCAAGATCTGCGACGCGGACGATGGCTTCGCGGACCCAGGCGACAGGGTGGCATCCTTCATCGAGAGCGGCGAGAGCGACCTCGACGGGGGTCGATTGTCAGAAAACTGAGAGGGGGTGCGCAGGCTGGGGGGCAACTGGCCCAGACCTGCGCCCAGCCAGCCACACCAGAAGACATCGGGGATATTGGGCCCAGACTCAGAGACCCGTGCGGTGACGAGCCTACGCCCAGCCACCCCCACCCACGGCCCCTGGCCGCCCGCGCACGATCGCACCTAGCTTCCATCACACTACATAGTTACGCCCAAGCCGATGCGAGCCTTGGGGATGCCGCATCTGCTTCAGACCACCAGCGCTCTACTAGGGAGCCCCGACTCAAAAGACGCAGCAGACGAACCACCTGCACTACCAGCTCCCTAGACGCCGCAACTGTGGGCAAGGGTGGGGACCACCCACAGGACGGCGACTTCAAGCTTGAGCGCTCCAAGCGCGGACCTGAGCGACTCCCTCAGGCCGCGACCCCCCTTGCCACCAGGGTTCAGGCAGGCAACCAGCGCCGCGACTGGGCGAGGCTGCAGCAAGAGTGGGGGAGCTACTCGGGCAGCCAGCCGCAGTGCCAGCAGCGTGGGCCAAGGCGACACCCCTTGGCCACGCCAGGATCGACACCCCACTTCGCGGGAGCTGCGGCGGCCCATGCGGCGCCGCAACCCTGGCAGCACAGCCGCGCGAAGGCGGACCCAGGCAGCAGGTCGAGACTACCAGAGCCATCTCATCTGGAGGTCTCCCAGCGCCGGGCACCCTGGGGGCACCCCACGCTTGCAGTCGACGGAGCCTGGCCCGCGCGCCAACCTCCCGCCACCAGCCATTTTGGCTCGCAAGAAGACCGCAAGACAAGCAGAAAGACCCCAAGGGGGCTGGCTAGTCCACCAGTGACAGCCAAATTAAATGCACACACCACGGCACAACTAAGCACTGATCACACCCGGCAGATACAGCATGGACCAATACAAGCCGACGAGCTAGAGCAAATCCAAGATACATACCTCGACAGCAACGATAGCCCAGCACCAGCAGAATCGCACCTCAACGACGTCACAGCGGTTGCAACAGCAAGAAGAGTGGCGAAGCGCAAAAGATTATTCAGACAGGTGCTTAA